AGTCTGACTTTGTCTTGGCTTCAGCTTTCCCTTTTCCTCCTGTAGAAGATACCAAGGGAGAGACCAGATCTTAGTCACTCATCGCTATGCATCATTTCTGTGTGGCATGAAACCATCCTCAATAATGGAGCGTACAGTCTCTATTTTGGGCCCTGGGTAGGCACAATGAAAGACTGTAAATTACTACCCCGAAAACTCAGTAGTTGGTTGGGTAGTTAAGACTTGGGCAAGGATAACTGTTCCATGGGGAGGAATGAAGAAAATTCAAATGAGAGATGATAAGTGCCATGAAATATTCACAGAATGGAAATGCTATTGTGTGATGGGTAAAATTTGGGGTAGTTGGAGCATGCATGAAAACCTTCCGGAGAAATCGTGAGCTAGCGCATGAAGGACACTGGGGGCGAAGGAAGGAATCGATGGGGAAGCCAGAGTTCCAGAATTCAAAGAGATCTGAGGAGCAAAAGACGGAGCTGGATGAACAGGGGTCTTCAGAGCTCTTGTAGGCTGAGGATATGCTTAGAAATAGCTAAGAGTGCCAATCACAAATCATGGCAAGATGACTTTCCAGGGAGGGTCATTTGGTGTTTGTGTATAAGATAGAAGGTGGGAGGTGAGGAGGTGAGGGGGATTGGTGAGGTGAAGGAGGTGAGGCTGGTCACGTTAGCCTGCTACCCATATCGCGTAGACCTTCCCACACGAGTAGGAAGAGGTTCTCCCTGTCAAGAGCAACAATTATTTACACGTACGTAACAGTAGAGATGTTCATGAAGGAGTCGTTGTTTCACAAAAGACTCAACACTCCTCTAAGGACAGTGAGCTCTTCTGGTGGGTACAAATGTTTCACAAAAGACTCAACACTCCTCTAAGGACAGTGAGCTCTTCTGGTGGGTACAAAGTTATCTTTGTCTTTCACAAAATGCATTCAGGAACAACCGGGGAGCAGTTTGAGGAGCATCTGTATCTGCTTAGAAAGTGTCTTGAGCAGAGTTCTCCACTGCTTCCCTTAGGATTTCAGGCTTCCTCGGCGGTCTGACCTTCAGTGATCTCCAAAGTGGATATCTTAAGCTTCACGGAGGTAATCAGGACAGCGTACACATTTATAAAACAATCTTACAGATATTTTTTTTCTTAAAAAGCATTGCACTGACTTCTCAACTTCCATAAGATACGTGAGCTTCACAAGGCCCACACAGCCATCTGTCTTTCTTGATTTCAGATCATTTCCATCTATTCCAGGACCCAGGGGCAAAGGATGCATGTGCATATGTGTGCCTGTGTGCGTTGCAGAGAGCTCGGGAACAAACAGGACACACCCATGATTTAGGTTGTATTCTCCATTTCTACTTTTGGAACAATTTCCTTTCTTTGGGTTCTGTATAGTTAGTTATTTAGCAGAACTATTTGCTTTAAAGTTATTATTTTTGAAACAAAAAATTTCAAACCTTTTTTTTTCCCCCTCTTTTAATAGCACAAAGTAGCTTGGATGATTATAGCAAACTTTCAAAGTCATTGCCTCCAAGTGTCCTTTTCACGGTAGCAGGATTTTCACAGTAGCAGCCCTGAAATCTGACTATTAAAAGAGTTCTTGCTAAGAATTGTGAGAATTGTGTCCTTACATATTCTGAGAGTGTTATGGTTTGAATTTTGTTCCCTTGGAACTCAAAGTACGGCCTTAGTTGGAAACAGAGTCTCTGTATATGCACTCAAGGTAAGATTGTCACATGATTGTGCTGGTATAAGGAGAGAGGGGGCACAGAGACACCAGGGAGAAGACAGACTTGGCCATGTGTAATCAGGGGCCAGGATTGAGGTGACACCTGTAAAAGCCAACTGTGCTAAATATGGCCAGAACCACTGGAGGGACACGCTCTTCCCTGGTCTTCAGAGTCACCGCGGTCCTGCTAACATTTACATCTTGGATGTTTTGTTTCCAGGACTGTGTGAGAGAACATATTTCCAAAGTTTCAATCCTTCCATGTCTGTGGTACTTAGCTTATGGTCACCCTAAGAACTCATCATGGAACACAGGACTTCAGCTATGTAGGTGGGTGAATCTAACAATGTCACGGCTGATGATGGTTTCACCCACATGGCTGAGGAGAGCATGTTCCTCTAGGGAACATGTCCACCATCGATTGTCCTTGCCATGGCCGGCCATCTAAAGGAGAATTGTCAAACGATTAATAATACCAGTCCACATTTACTCAGCACTAAGTTAGTCCAGTTCTTGTCAGAACTTGATGTCTGTCAGCTGACTTCATCCTACAGCTACCTGTGTGAGGTGAGACACCTTTGACAGGTGAGGAAACTGAATAGTGTGCCCAGAGTTACAGAGCTGGGGGAACTACGGTCTGAACTCAGTTTGACTCCAGAGCCTTCTCTTGTACCCATTGTTCCCTTCCTGTGTACTCCTTCCAGAATTCTACCATGTGGTGCTTTTTTAATTTTGGAGGGGTAAAGACAGAAGGAAGCAAACGACCACTGATGAGCCCCATTGCAAGTACACGGTGTGTGCATATGGTGCACCTTACTTCATTCCTTAACATTCAGTCCTTCCAGGTAGTTATTCGTGTGACCCAGAGACAAAGAGACTGAGGTCACACGGAGAAACCTGCCCTTGGTGAGTAGTTTGCAAGTGATTTGAACCTGAAACCAATAAACAGCATTATGTGCGGGGTGTACCTTCTCTTTATAATAACCTTGTAAGGTAGGTGACTTGGGGAGACACAAGAATGAAGTAGCAGAAATGAAAAGAAAGTCTAGAGTGGGCTTTGAGATAGTCAGCGACCACCACAGGGACAAAGGGCAGATGCAGTCCTGAGACCTTAACTCATGACCAATATGTTCCCCATTAAAAGTACCACGGAAACTGAAGGAGCCCAAGCCCCAATTATAACAGGGACGTAGAGGCCACCTGGGATAAAGTGCTGACTCTTCACTGCCCTGTGGGTAGCTGGAAGCAGGACAGATCTTGGTATCTCTGCCTTCATTTTCCATCTGTCCCCTTTGCCTTCAATGTTGGATCAGATTCCTGCTCAGCTCTGCACATGGGCATGCTAATCATTTAAGGAGTGTTGATCTAAAACTGATAATGCACCCTTTCCAGGCTGAAGAGACCAAGACAAGACTAACTCAAGTATTTTCAACAGATCGTCAACTGCCAGCTTTCACAACATCCTGTTCCAGATCCTTGGAGTAGCCTAGAAGTCTCTAGAACCACCTAGAAAAACCAGAGCGGAAGTAATGATCACCAGAACCTGGTCCATCCCTGCCACCCCATAAAATGCCTGTTACCTCCCTGTTTGGGGCTCAGCTTGATCACTTTCTCCCTCAGGGCTGTCCCCCGTCTCCTGCAGGTCAGACCCAGCAATTAAAGCTCTGCCTGTGTTCCGGTTCCTTGGCCCAGCGTCCTTTCTGTCATCCCTGGGTAAGAAGTTCCTGCGTCAGTTCCAGCTGCGGAAGGCAGTGCCTGCCCCAGGGAACCAGCAGGATGTAGATCTATCCATCAGGCTGGACTTGCTTTGGTTAAGAGAGAGGGTGGGAAAACGGAAGAAAGGGCCGAGCCTGGGATCACAGTAGCATTGCATGAAGGAGAGGAGATGAAGTGCATGAGGATATGGCTCCTGCTGACTTCTGCAGCAGCATGACTGATCTCCAGGTAGTCAAGCTGCTTTCTCTGTGCTTCTAGGTCAGCTTGTTCATGGAGCCTGGTGGAGGCTGCCATGTGCAGCTGGTGGGGTGAGCAGCCAGTGTTCAGGACTAAACTGTTCAAGATTTGGAGCCCACTGGCTCTCGCAGGTGCTTGGGTTGCCCGTGGGCCCTTTGGCCAAGGAGGGAGATCCCTGGTATCAATGGCGGTGTCAGCATACCTGGAATTGTCATTTTCCAGGAGAGAATCTGAAACTTACAGAGTGCCAGTACCTTGTCCAGGTTAAATAGTAAATAAATGTCAGCTCTAGGGCACGAAGTCAGGTGTATCTGGAGTGTTAAACCACGCAGCAGAACATAGCAATGCTCTCTCTTGCATGCACGAGTTTCCATGGGCCTTCCTTTTGCAATTTGTACATAAGCAGTTCCTTCTTCTGTTATCTAAACTTTGTAAGAAGAGATTCCAGAAGCTTGTGTAGTGGAGAAGAACATCAGATGTTGGCCACACGAGATTTAGAAACTACTTCTGATAATTTTAGCTTCTTT